AGTTCTCTTATGTTGGTCCAGGAGTTCCTTTGCTCACCCTCCTGGGACCATAGGCCAGTCTCAATCTTAATTAGCTCTCCCAGTCCATATCAGCACAGAACACTCATGAAAACATGGCAAGTGTCAGTCTCCAGTCCTCCAAGTGGTGGTGATAACCTGGCACTTACAACAACAACAAAAACAACACTTCTGGGTCAGGATAAGTCACTCTAGCTTGGTGAAGATATAATCATGGAGACAAACTTACGCTTTAGAGAAGTAAAAGTCTTAAATTCTTTCCCATTAGCCACAAAACCACACTGGCCATTACAGACCAAATACCACTGATTCAGTGAGGCTTCTCTAGTTGGGACTTATCATTAGATTTAGGCTAATGTGTGAGAAAGTAGGCATGTTAGGGGAATTCTGAAGAAAAAAAGCTGAGGGATGATGACCTAAGATTATGTATATATTTACGTATGTATGCATCATATTTATATCTCACTCTTCTCCCAAGAGTCAGTAAAATAGGACTCAGCAATTAAAGTTGTCAGGACAGCTGAGAAGGATACTCTCCTTATCCTGTCCCAGAAAAGAAAAGAAAAAAATATAAACAGAGGAAGGGACACAATGAAACTCCTAGTTCCTGGTGGAAACCCAAAGAATTAGATTCTGTAGATACGGTTATTAGCTCAAGCAAGAGGTACCTCACTCCCAAATTTGGACACATGGCCCCTGCTCCCCTCACAAGCTTCTCATGGGTTTCATTTTGTTCTACAAACAAATGGATTATCACAGTTTGGACAGCATCTTTTATCTGCTTCCTCATCCTATCCTTGTGACCAGCAAATGTGATGAATGAAATACAGTACTGACACACAGGCAGGCACACATAACGGTATATGGTTCTGATATGACCAGCAAATGTGATGAATGAAATACTGACACACAGACAGGCACACATAACGGTATATGGTTCTGATGTTTTAGGTCTAGATATGTATACCTCAAACCTATAGGTTTGTATAGGTATAATCTTTGCTCTCTCAGTATCTGCCTTCCCTCCTTTAATTCTGGAAACAAAATTGTTTAGTGTTGGCCATATAGCATCATGAAGTTGGCACAATTCAGTTGTGGGAAATTGCTTGAAAAGAATAACAGCCATATGTTACATTGTCCTCAATTTTTTTTTAAATTAATACCTTGTCATTGTTGCAGTAGGTGTTAAAATTTTTACTGGCATCTCTAGGACCAATGGTTGGCCCTTTGCTTGATAATTGTATTTCTGTATTAATATATATCTACAAACTACCTTCCTACTGTTTCTCAAACTGTCCTCATTTTCACCCTGGAAATTACACAGAAGTGTTAACTAACTTCAATTTACAGTGGCTGACAATCATGTCTCTTAGAGAAATGATACTTTATGATCTGTGGTAAATCTCAATAATAAAAGTAATGACACCCATTATTAAGAAGTCTCAAATGTGCCACAGACATTTAAGATTTGTGTGGCAGCTTTCGTAATGACTCTTATTTCAGAATTTTAATGGGTTTCTTTTGAGAGAAGTTTGATTTCACATATCAAGGGTTGTGAACTTATTTAGTGATTATTTTCTTCCAAATTATATCTCCCACAACCATCTTGTAAGAAAAATGTAGACCTTGTCAAATCTTGCACACTTCAGAAGTTCGTATTTAGTACATCAGGAGACACAGGAAGAAAGTGTACACTAACAGAACAATACTACCAAATTATTTCAACATGTGTTATGTGAGCCTGGCTTAGAACAGTGTTTGGAAACTTCTTCTAGTCCAAAACAGTGCAGCCAGACTGCTGACTAAGACCACTGCTAAGAAACTCCCTTATCTAACAGCTCCTTCCCTCTAAAGCTTCAGTAGCTAGGGGTACACAATTTAAAATGCCTGGTTATGGTCTATATACCACTCTATGACTTGTCTCCAGGCTAAAGACTTCATTCTCCCATACAAGCCTACTCAGGATTTTTGATTCAGGGAGTGCTGTCTCCCAATTAAAAGCCCTGAATCATACAGTCTTAGCTAATGTACTTACATTCTATTATATTTTTTAGGCAAACTAATATTAGTATTTTAATTAAGCAGTTTTAAGTGTTTTAAATACATTTTAATAACTTGATCAATTTAATTTAATTTTAATATTTGTGATTTTATTGCAGTTTTAGTTTTCCTTTGTTTTTAAATTCTTTTGTAAGTTCCCTTGGATGAAAGGAAAGATATAAATAAATAATATATGTACAGACATACTATGATACTACTGCTCATATAAATCTCACTTTGTTCAATGGAGTTTTCTCCCAACTGAGTATACACAAGTTTAAATCCTATATGTCATCAGCCATGGTGATTTTTAGGGAATATAAAATTTCTTATTTCTCTGTCAAAGCTCCATGGAATCTCTTTCATCATGGAAAAGTCACTGGGAGCGATGGGATGGGAAGGGGAATCTTTGCTTTCCAAAAATTACTTCCAGGGGGACCACTTTATTTGTGGTGTTAATATTTGGAAAATAAGGACATCCTGCAGCCCCTAATGGCTTTCTGACAATGAAAAAGATTCCACTGGAGCCTCAAGACCTTTAGAGGGAGATGGGAAATTTTTTTTGTTTTCTCAAAGTTATTGCAGCTGATGATGTCACTGGCCTTATGAAGAGTAACTTGAGGCTACATGATTGTAGCCAATGGATTGCAGCCTTATTAGCTACATATCTAGGACACAGTCTAACTGAATATTACCAGAATTAAAGCCATTTTAGCTTCAATTGAGGAAACGTTAAATGTTTGTCCAATGCTCTCTGAAATGAATACATTGTCAAAGTGTTTTTACTAGATTGTGCCCTGAAACATATAGACAAAAAATTTGATTGGTTAATGCCTGCCAGCATTAAACAAAAGTACACATAAATTTGGTGTGCAGCAGGAAATAACTACACTAACTTCTTAATTTATGTCAATTCACCACAGAAATTTATTCCATTGACATTATGCCAGCATAGAAACACAATATAATGTTCCCTTTGAAATATAGATTGTACCAAGCTTAAATGATTACAGAGCAAAGGTAATATAAGAGAAATACAGTGGTGCCTCACTTAGCGACGTTAATTCATTCCACAAAAATCGCTGCAGAACGAAAATGTCGCTATGTGATATTAAAAAGCCCATAGAAACGCATTGAAACCCCTTCAATGCGTTCCTATGGGCTTAAAACTCACCGTTGAGCAAAGAACCTCCATAGTGCCACCATTTTTGGTGCCTCTAAAGCGAGGAATCCATCCCTAAACACAGCAGGCGGCCATGGTTTTTTCCCTGGTGGCCATTTTGAAACCGCTGATCAGCTGTGCGAAAATGGGGGCTTTGCGATGATCGCTTCCCTGCAATCATCACAAGGTGAAAATACCCCATAGAGAACATCACAAAGCGATCGCTTTTGCAATCGCAAAAACAGCGTCACTAAGCGATTTCGTCGCTAAACGGAGCGATCACTAAGCGAGGCACCACTGTATTGTTTTTAAATATCGTCATACACATATAATAGAATCACAGAATAATAAAGTTGGAAGGGGCCTGTGAGGCAATCGAGCCCAGTCCCCTGCTCAATGCAGGAATACAGATCAAAGGATATTTGCCAGGTGGTGGTCTGAGTTTCTCTTGAATGCCTCCAGTGTTGGAGCACTCACCACCTCTCAAGGTAATTGGTTCCAGTGCCATATTGCTCTAACAGTTTATTATTCATTCATTCATTAATTCTATTTCTATACTGCCCATCTGGCCACAAGGCCACTCTTGGCTTCTCCTGGTGTTCAACCTAAATCTGACTTCCTATAACTTGAGCCCATTGTTGCATGTCTTGCATCGAGAACAGATCCTGCCCCTCCTCTGTATTTCAAAAGCCATAAGACAATGAGAGCAATACACTGGTGCTGTGTTTTAGCTTTCTAACATTCAATTAAAAGAAACACAACGGTAGGGAAGAACCATACCATGAGTTGTTTTGTTAATTAGGTCAATAGTGCCAAATACTGAACTTTCTGGCTCTGGGCCTTGAAGGAAAGGTATTATCCATCCAAGCAATTTCTCTCAAAGAAAATGAGAAGAGAGATACTGTGCACTGAGCAATTGTACAGGGTGAAAGCCAGTCATTACTTATTTAAGCTACTTACATAGCAGAAGGTAATTGCTGACACCTCAGTGTGGCACAGATATCTGCTAGAAGAATTTGTTTGTTTGTTCATTATATTTCTATATCATGCCATCTGGTGGCATTGCCACTACTCTGGGCAGTTCAAACATAATGAACACAACCACACCACACCCAATCCACAAATATAAAAATATAATATATAAGGAAAACTAGACAAACACTCAAGATGGCGGCAACGGACAAGATACAAGTATAATAGCCAAAAATAAGACTAAATAATGAACAGTTATAAAAGGAGGGTATCCTGACATGTTTATCTAAAAAGCAATGTTTTGTGTGCTATCTGAATATTAGAAGGGGCCTGATACACCTCCACAGGGGGAGCATTCCCCAAGAAGGTGGCCACTGCAGCGAAGGTCTGGCTCCTGGAGAAGGACTTCCTGTTCTCTCCATTCACAACATCAAAGCCTAAGAGGTGTGAGTGGCACAGGAAGTTGATCTTAGAGAGAAGTGCTCTGATAGGTATTGAGGCCCCAAACCAATCGTGGCTTTACAGGTCGGCACTGGTTACCTTGAATATGGTATGGAAGCAAACTGATAGCCAATGCAGGTGAGCCGGGACTGTGGAAATATGATCCTTTGGTACTCACTGCGGCTGCCATACTGCCTTCAAGGGGCAGCCCCACATAGTATGCTCTTTAGATGGACAGTGAAGGAGAATGTGTTTTCAAGGAGGGGGAGAATCTTTTCAAGTGTGACTGTCTTGAGTAGATGCCATTTTCATGGCTTTTTGCTCCTCTTTCCCCCTATTTCCTTATCCCACTCCTTTTCTCCCACAGAAACCAGGGATGGATGTTGCTGACGCCTACGTCACCTTCGTTCGCCATTCTCAGGACATCCTGCGCGATAAGGTCAATGAAGAGATGTATATAGAAAGGTTGTTTGATGTAAGTAAATACATTCACCCCTTTTAAAATCTACAGGAGGATTAGGCACCTTTTGAGATAAATGGCAGCCGTTACCGGCTGATCTTTGCTTTGGACTGAAAATCAGTTTGTCTGCATTGCTCAGATCCACTCTGGCCCAGCTACTCTCTTTTTCAATGTTCGGACAGAAGCAGCTTAAATCAACACTTACTCGGTAAGAGAGATGTGTTAATCATTATTTTTAAAGGGTGTGAGAGGCTCAGACAGACTGCGTGTGCCATTTGACACAGAGTGAATGTCGTTGCTGAAGGACCAAACACGGAACATAAACTGGACCTTTGTTTTTGTTTTTTCATGACTAATAATTCACAACAAACATGAATAACCATTTTTGGAAATCAAATATGTTTGTGTTTCAGAATACTGTCATGTTGCATTAGCTGAAAATAGAGTCCTTTGGGGAATATCAGATCGAATGTTATGAATTTTAAAAGCGGAAAATTTAGGATTCATGTTGATATGTCATGCAATTCCAGTTTGTAGGTGACTCATGAAAGAGGACAGTTGGGCTTTGGGGCCCAACATTTGCTAAATTTCAACTGTGATTTTATTTTAAATAGGTTGGCGTACATGGTAACAGACATCATTGCTTTTCTCTTGCTTTTTCTGTGCAACATGTTTTCCTGTAGCAGTTGTGTGCCATCTACCATTTATGCTTGCAGTTGGGACTTGACTGTTTCAATCACTCGTTAGGATGGATCTTCATCTATGTGTTTCCGTGACTGAAACAACTTTTTTCCCTTTCCTTCACCTCTCAGCGCTCTCTCTCTCTCTTTTTCTTTTATTCTGGCATTTAGATTTGAATACCTTCAGACTTTCTTTCTTACATTGGGTAGAGGAATGTGTTTTCTTACCCACCAACCATCAACTTCCAAACTTCATCAAATTTCTCTTTTGATTGGTACCCATCTGTTATTGTGTTGTTGTTGTTTTCCATATTTTCTTTTTCCACTCTGGCCTCTTCCTGCTGCATAATTCTCTCCTTTTAATTTTAATTCTTCAAGATTAAAACTGAACTTATCTACCATGTCAAATGTTTTATCACATTATATCAAGTGGCATGAATTGGAGTCAAATAATCTTCTTCTGTACATCTACTTGCATGACCCATATCCACTGAGAATGCCTCATTCATGCATAAAGCACTTCAGAGACGCCTTTCCTCTTAAGAGAATTTCAAGCATTAAAAAAACACCAGAGACAAATCACCTATCCACTTAGCAATGACAAAGAGGCAGTCATTTCCTCTCTGTTATAGATCTGCTTGCACTCTGCCCATCTATGTTGAAATTCTTCTATTAGCAATACATTCCAGGGACTGTTCTTTTCTGTGCCAGCCTTTTCTTTCAGCAGCTTCCAGTTTTGTGTCTCTTCCAGCAGCTTGTCTGGAACATAATCAGAGGAATACTTGTCTGGAATATATTTGATTTCAATCACACCATAACTTACAAAGTCATACAGCTATTCTGAGCACCATTTTAATTGGGAAAACAGGGTGTAAAGTTAGTAAATTAACCTCTTTATATTACATTAGTTTTAAAAAATATTTAAATAACATCTTTACAGAAGATCAAAAATCATATGTAAAGCAACGATCATTTTGGCCTAAGTTTAAATCATATTGTGCATGTGATGTACATCTAAAAGCAGCCCTACTAGAGAATCCACAATGATCTCTTCTGGGTCAAAACTGGAATAAAGCCACAGCATGTTTCCTACTTCAAGTGCATTTCCAAAAAAATCTAAGTCAGGACATGACACTAATGACTATGGATATTCTTATGGTCTAGTGTATCCAGTTCCTGTGTTTTCTCACTACCATGGACCAGTTTGCATGTGAAGTCTTTCTGAGTTTGTTTTTTAATCTGAAAAAAAATTTGTATATCCAAGATTTTTTTTTCCGTATCTAGAGCACTTTTTCTGCAAAACCTGATACAAACTGAAACTGGTACTGTAAATGCTACACTTCAAACCCTGTGCTTTCTTAAGACACCCCACTGAGTACATCTGCTCTATGATTTCTAAATTTAATGGTCTGTTACAGCAAAAAGAAGAATCTTGTGGCACCTTAAAACATGCTAGCCTTTAAGATGTGTTTATTGTTTTATGTGCTCTACACAAATTTGACACACACACACACCTCATTGCCTGCTCCTTGTCCCACAGCCATTCTGCTTGGGGATGATCAGTGTCTCTTTTCCATCCTACCACAATAAATTGGCTTCCTTTGTGTCATGGTCAAAGGTCATCTTGACCTTTGAAATTTCATGAGTATTCCAACTTGTTTAGAAGTACTCAGACACCTGCATAAAGTGCCACATGGCATCTTAAAGTATCATTAGTCCCAAATTTTGGTACTAAGGAGCATAGATTTCTTACATATTCTGACTTAAGAGAAAATATTTTACTTCAGGTTATTTGTCTGAAGCAAAAATAGGATAAGATACCAGGGAAGAATGATACTTTTAATAGAAGTACTGTAAAGAAAAGAATATTTTACTTCAGGTCATTTGTCTGAAGCAAGAATAGGATATTAAGATACCAGGGAAGAATGATACTTTTAATAGAAGTACTGTAGAGAAAATGGGAAGTCATGAGAAAGAACTTTCTTATCCTGGTGTCATGGAGAGTGTAAAAAATGTTTCTCCATTGATTCCTTTAGGCAACAATCTCTCATCTGTGTTCCTCCAAACATTTTGAACTATTTTGTGTCTGTCCATTTCTCCATAAGATAGAAATGCCCCTTTTTCCTAAAAGGAGCATTCAGTGACAGTTTCTTGCCACTTTCACAGGAACACACATTTAACCCTGCCTTTCATTTTTTTTTCCTCCCCTACTAGCTCTTGTTTTTCAACACAGGGGTTGTCTCAGTCCTCCTAGAACAGTGGTCCCCAATCTTGGGCCTCCAAATGTTCTTCAACTACAACTCCCACAAGCCTTCACTACCACTTCTGCTGGCAAGGATTTCTGGGAGTTGAAGTCCAAGAACATCTGGAGGCCCAAGGTTGAACTATTTTGTGTCTGTCCATTTCTCCATAAGATAGAAATGCCCCTTTTTCCTAAAAGGAGCATTCAGTGACAGTTTCTTGCCACTTTCACAGGAACACACATTTAACCCTGCCTTTCATTTTTTTTTCTCCCCTACTAGCTCTTGTTTTTCAACACAGGGGTTGTCTCAGTCCTCCTAGAACAGTGGTCCCCAATCTTGGGCCTCCAAATGTTCTTCAACTCCCAGAAATCCTGGCCAGCAGAGGTTGTGGGGAAGGTTTCTGGGAGTTGTAGTCCGAGAACATCTGGAGGCCCAAGGTTGGGGACCACTGTCCTAGAAGACCATGTGGCTGTTGTAGCCAAGAATGCCTTTGCACAGCTTCAGCTGATGCACTAATTCTGTCCCTTTCTAGAGAAGGCAGTTTTGGCCTCAGTGATCCATGCCTTAATGATCTCCTGTTTAAATGAATATAAGGCTCCCTGTGTGGGTCTGTTTTTGAAAAATGTTTGGAAGTTACAGCTAGTGAAAATGCTGTAGCTAGGCTACATTTTGGCTGCATTATAGAAAGCACGCAGCACTAGTCTTGAAACAATTGAACCGGCATCCAATTTGTTTCCATGCTCAACTCAATGAAGCTGGTTTTTCATCTACAAAGCCCTAAATAACTGGGGGGGGGGTTTGTTTCAAAATATTTGAATGACTGCTTCTTCTCCTATGAGTTGGCCCTGAATTTGAGATCCTCAGCATGTTGTGTGTCCCATCTCCCCAAGAAGTTAGGCTGGTAAGTACAGAAGGCTGACATCCTCTGTAGCAGAACCTTGGCTCGGGTATATAGAATAGGTGATACTTTTATTTAGACTGCTAAAACTCAAACATTTAACATGAGCTTTCATGAATGAAATTCACTTCCTCGGGCATAGGACAGAAAAATTATGAATGAAATTCCCAAGATGGCCGTGGCAGAGATCCAACATGCATGTTGCTTGTTGCTTAAGGTGAGCTAAGAGCTGGTTTCAACCAGTTTGAGGGACGGTTTAAATGCCACACCCCAGTGACATTTGATTGGAATTTTCCACTCAGCCTCAAGGATAGGAGGTAGTCCCTGAATGAACCCCACCCCACCTGCAAATAAGGAAACTTGATTTCCAAACAGGCAATATGAGTGGGAGGGAGAGGGATACAATAACCTACAATTCCAATTCCACTGAGTCCCTGTCACCACAGACAATAGGTGAAGATGATCAGCAAGATAGGTGAAACCATCTTGAAAGACTCAGGCTGGAGAAGACTGCGACAAGATATAAGCCAGTGGGCAGTTTGGGCGGTATTTTCTCAGGCCTTGTATATAGCCTAATTTATTTAAATCTAAACAATCAAAAATATAACTTAGATTGAAGTAATGTGAACACTCCTCAGGAATGAGCCCCCACAAACACAGTAGGAGATACTGTACTTACAAAGTAAACATGTGGAAGGATTCCACTCTTAAGATGTTCATCTTTGTGTTCATTTGCTTTTGGTTTCTGGAGAGGTTTATTTCTGCATACCACTGTGCTGTATTCTTTCTTTTCTACTTTTCATTTTAAAAAGAAAAGAAAACTATTTTTTAAAATCTATTCACATTGTGGGCAGCACATTTTCAAAAATGCTTATTTTGTCTGTCCTTTTGTTCTAAATGCAATCATTTTACACTGCTTAGTGTTCATGTCCTCCCCAGACTCCCTTCCCTATGTGTGCTTTAATAGCAGAATTATTCTCCGGTGTGGATACTGGGGTATGCAGGAGATTATCTGAATATTACTGTGTGGTCTGCATTTTAATCGCCTTTATTTTGTAAATTAGTCAGGTTTACTGTGGAATAAAGTCATCATCATCATTTTTTAAAATCTTCTCTTCAGGTCACTGGGGAAGAAAACAGATTGGCTAAGGGGTCTGGCAATGAGCAGTTAACAAGGCTATTTTCTCCCTGAAG